AGTACATTTAGCAGCTGAAAATATTTAAGAATCATCCACAATGAAGGATTTTAAAAAGTACATAAATATGCTGCAGTATGAAAATCATTTCAAAAATTCTGTAAATAGCTTTTTAATTTATTATAAATAAGAAAGTAATGCTGAGAGCTTATAGTTCATTGGAGCTTTTCTAGAAAATGCATGCAACATAAATAGTTTAATAGCAAACTGCTATGTACACATTTGCATTTCACCAGTATGTAGAGAAGAACATGCCCTGAGCATGTATGTCCACATGGAGGCCAGTATAAAATGGAATCCCCAAATCCCACAGGACAGGTTGAATGGGATTTTGAAAAACATACAAACTCCCAGCTGTAGGTTTTCTCATTCCACTCAAGAGCCACTAATAACTCCAGTTTCCAAATCCAGTGTAGTGACCTACACATCACAGTTCAGATATCATCTGAAGGCAGTAAGCAACCCAACCATAAATGTGAAAGAGGGAAAATAGAGGGAAAGGAAGAAGTCAAGAGGAAAAAGGAAGATGGTAGAGTATTCAGGAGACAAGGCATTCTTGGGAAAGAAGGAGCACTCCCTTAGAGACAAGATCGGTTGGCATTCTTGGTGTCATTCATGTAGGGTAACAGAGGACAGGCCATCACTAACTGCTTGGTGAAAGAATAAGTGACATACAGCTATATTTACTGCTTAATCTTGAAAACAATTCTTTCTCATAACTGATTTCTTCAAAATTTCCAGAAATTGTGGCTTCTTAAGAGATCAGTAAACTAATTCAGATTCAACATGACTTGACTCTAAATAAGAAACATGCATGCTATGGATTGTATCTAGATTGTATATATGGCTTGTATCTAGATGTCTCCCCAAAGCTTCATGTGGTCATAGGTGGAGCATTTTGAAGGTGGTTGGATCAGGGTGCATGAGTGTGGATTAAGGGTTTGATACTGGGATTAAGGTATGGGTAATGGAATCCCCACCCTGGATGTAAGTGACACCAATTAATAGGTTTACAGCCTGGATGGGAATATAAAAGGAAAGAGGGATGGCAGGTTTGCTGCTGCCTCTGCCACTGCTGCTGCTTGCTGCTACATGCTGCCTTCCTGCTTTCTGCCTGACATGCCATGAACTATTTCTTCTCTGTAATGCCCCTGTGTTATGCTGCTCTGTATTGGAGCCAACAAACTATGGACTGACAATTCTACAAACTGTAAGCAGAAATAAACCTTTTCTCCTTTAACTTTTGGTGTCAGGTATTTTTTTCTCAGCAATGAGTAAAGTAACTAAGACAATGCATACAATCCTACCAAACAAAGAACATCAAAAAAAGCTGAGTTCTAACTTCTTAATCTAAAACAAGTCAAGCTTAAATCATAGGAAAAATAAATAAACACATCTTCACATGACAAAAGGTGAAGTTCATACCTTCCCAATAGAAAAATGGTGGGCCATTGGTATGGTTTGTGTCTGGGTGTTCCCCCCAAAGCCTCATGCAGTCATGGGGTGGGCTTTCAGAGTTTCACTGATTATGGGTGTGAGAGCTACACCTGCCCTGGGGCAGGTAGTTTGCACATGTAAGGGAGAAAAGGAGGCTGCTTACTGCCACTTCCCCCTTTTGCTCTTGTTGCTTTGCTATTCCCCTGCCATGAACTGTTGCCCTCTGTCATGTGCCACTCTGCATTGGAGCCAGCCAAGCATGGACTGAAACCTTCACAAACTAATTAAACCTTTCCTTCCTGAATTTTTGGGCATTGGGTATTTTGTTTCAGCAACGAGAGAAGAGTAACAGAGACAATCATTAACTTAAGAAGCCTGCAAAGACATGAATATTCCACTGTTCTACACTTTTTAGGAACAATGGTGGAATCTTATCTGTGAAAAGATTAATGTTGATAGAAAAATCCTTCATTTAAAAAATGAGAGCCTTACTGTGCTAATTTGGCTTCCTTGCAAAATCTGAAACAATGCCCACCTTCCATCAGAAAATTCAGTCCTCCAGGAGCTAGCAAGCTGAAATAAACGATGACAAGTGTTCAGTGAGTGAACTTTTGAAGGAATTATTGATAAAGATCTATAAAGCTGAACACACTTGAAACACACTTTTCATGAACACACTTTTCATGTTTTTCATGTATTCATCCAACAGTTATCAGTTACAGCCTGCTATTTGGTAGGTACTGTGTAAGACATTGAGGACATAGCACAACCAGGCATATGAATCTCTTCACTTCTAAAAGTTTACACTCTACCAGATGGACAGGAAAAGGGCAAGTAACACATCAGAATATAGTAACTTTTGTGAAAGAGGCAAGGGTTGACACAAAAAGCTAAGATGCAATAATACAAGGGGAAGAGTATTCCAAGTGAAACTGCTAAGCCAGGATTAAGTTTGGCCCACAAAGAGGGGGCATCAAGGAAAAACACAGGCCCTCTGTAACTTTGGTCAGCTGTTTGGATTTTTTCTGCATCCATGTGGAAGCTACCAAAACTTTTCACACAGTGGGGAATGGAAGCTTATGACAGAGTCTGAGTGCTATTTTGGAAATGTCCCTCTAAATATATGTAGTAAGAACCAGGCAAAGCAAGATGAAAGCTGTAGACCACTGCAGACTCTACTGAAGACGAGGTGAGAGATGCAAAGCAGGCCTGAAATGTGGTGGTGGCTGTACAGTTGCAGAGAATTTCAGATGTATTTTTGAGATAAGAGCAGTAAAACTCACTAGTGGGGCAAAAAAGAGAGAAGGATCAAAACAGAACCCAGGGCTTTGGCATGAAAAGGCAGATGGAGAAACACATAATTTAAGAGATAAGGAGGAGGTAGTTCCATGTAGCTCGCCATTAACAAAACTCTCCTCTTTGAATTTACAAATTTCTCTGGAAATAACTAAAACTGACTTTCCTAATTTAGGTGTATAGAGGGCTCCTATGAATTTCTTAAACATGTTCGCAAAATGATGTGTGTGTGCATTCACAGGCACACCTGCATGTGTGCATATATTCCTTGTTTTCCTACTGTATAGGGTTTTCAAAAACACTTCTTAAGTAGGGTCCAAATTCCAACCAAGACTAACCGGTTAGCATCCCCTCCTCCTGAAAACAGTTTCAGGCTGGGTGTAGCTCAGTGGCAGAGCATGTGCCTAGTGTGCATGAGGACCTGGGCTCAATCTCCAGCACTGAAAAAAGAGAAAAACGCATCATTTATTTGAAAATTTGTCCCCCAAAAGAATGATTAAAAACAGGCTCAGATTTTTGTTTATTTTGACTTATAATCTAATAGACCTTTCTCTAAGAGAAAGAAAACAATTTGCTCTGTACCTGAGCAGTGTACTGTACATAATTCCTGAGCCTGAACCTTCCACAAAAAACAAACTGAAAATTTTTAAAGGCATTAACAGTAAAGTCATTGTCATCTGATTCAGCAGTGGGCAATTTGAGACATGGCTCTTCCAACAAAAGACAGCTGGACACATAAATATGTTGGTGTGATCCATTCAAAATCACAGGATAGGCGAGATCATTTTCAACAATAAAATGCATAAAATGCTACTACAGAAAACTCTCAACTGGGAGTGATTTCTAAATGTTTCCAAAACAGGAAGCAAAAGACAGCCAGTGTCACTGTGGTATCTGCCAGTATAGAATAAGTTAATCAGTCAGCCTCTAAAAACAAAGAATAGATTCATCAGTAGAGAAAGGAAAAAGAAAAGCAATGAGCTATATTGCCAGAGTGTCAAGAAAGCTGACTTTTTCAAGCGAGTGATTTTTATGCAAATATAGCTCAGCCTTTGTCAGTAAATTTCTAAACCCTGTAAAAGGGAGGAAAAGGTTCTTCTCATATGTCTAAAAGTTTTTCCTAGGAAAGTCAACTGCTAATGACAGAGAGGCTTTGAAGTCTTTGAAATAATGAATAAACTGGATATAGTGGTACACACCTATAATCCCAGCACTCCAAGAACCTGAGGCAAGAAGATCTCAAGCCTGAACCCAGCCTGTGCAATTTAGTGATTTAGCAAGACTCTATTTCAAAAAAAGAACAGAAAGACAGAGAGAGAGAGAGAAAAAGAGACACAGAGGAAGAAGAGAGAAAAGGAAAAAGAAAAAGGAAAAGAAGAAAAAAAAAAGAAAAAGAAAAAGAAAAAGAAGAAGAGTTTGGGGTATATCTCACTGGAATACCCCTAGATTCAATGCCCAGTACTGACAAATAAAGCAACAACAAAAACCAATAATAGTAAATGAAATATGTTTACTAATTTAGCATTTCAATTGAGAAACTTACTCTTCTAAGCATACTTTCTTGTTTAAATCCCCTTAGCCTAGTGTCTTCTTCCAAAAGTTGGATTAATACCTGTACCTGTTTCATTACAAAATGTAAAGGTTTTCTCCCAAATAATAACATATTTCATGTCATAAAATAAAAGCTAAAAAGCTAGTTGCTTAAAAGGGTCAGTAGAAATGATTTCCACCAAAGGCTTCCCCCTACTCAGTGTAACCTTTTTTGTAGGCATTACCTTGTCTCATTAACGTCAGTGTTATAATTTAGACCCTAGGACTCTATTCACTATATATTGAAACGTTCATACCCACTTTCCACATCCCACTCATCCACACACCTCCATTTCTTCCTTTGATCCCTGTCTGTGTTTACCTTCCCCGATATAACCTACGCATCACTGGCAGCAATGTCTAGGAATCTTTCTAATATCTCTTTTTGTTCTCCATTTCTAACTGTATGGATATTTAAAAACATAGTTATACGAGAGCCAAGATGCATATTTTGACACATTTGAATTTCATTTCGTATATAAGTGAAATAAAATATGTAAGCATATGTAAAGAAAGAGAAAGCAGAAAGTACAACAGATTTTCTGAAAATTTCACACTGTTATTCCTCTTGAAGGATTTTAACATTCACTCCCATTTTCTTACTATGCTGAACTATTAAAAACCCCCTTGCTGACCAGCAGTGTTTTGGTCTGGGGAACAGGACATGAATCCATCACCTCGTCATCAACATCCCCATCATTTCCACCACCTTTGCTATCACCACTGAAAAGAAAGTAGAAATTGCTTAAATCACTACACTTTTTGCTAAAGTAGCAAAGATTATTAACGATGACTAAGAGCTCTTCAATCAGTCTGCACTCTCAAATACTATACCACGGAGGAGAGAAATCCCAACAGCATTCGTGCTTTTATATGGGAAAAATAAGAATTCTCCCTGAAAAGACATTCTTCCTCAACATTTCATCTCATTCTATTAAGTTTATTGAAGAGAAAAAAACAAAAAACAAAAAACAACTCAGATTAGGAGGGTCAGTGTTTTGGATTCTCAGAGTTATTGATAAGTCCCCATGTGGCTACTCCTAGTTGAGATGTGGCTAGTGTAACCAAATAGCTGAATTTTAATTGCATTTCATTTTAATTAATTTGAAACTTTAAGTTCCACAAGATTACAACCCCTGGTAGGTACTAGCTTCAGCACTGCACACTGCAGTAATGGAGGCCGTGGATGCATGACACCAAAGCATCATGGTGTCTGGGACAAAGAGGGGTACACATGCCCAAGGAAGCAGCTACTGCTTAGCTGTTTTTTCTGTTTCCAGAGAAACTGGAAATTAGCTTCTGGCAACTAGAGGCAGTCCTTACTCTGAGCAGCTCCAAAATGCTTAAATTTCAGTTACTACGGTTCAATTAAATCACATTAGTTCCCCAACAGCATGGCTCAAATTTGCATACTAACTCTGAATAAGTTCATCAAATCAAAATCCACTACTATCTCTTCTTCAGCCACAAATTACTATGTAGATAGCAGGTGTGTGCGATGAACAGCAACCAATTACATCACTTCTTTCAAAGCCTATTGGTGATGGGTCACTGGGTGTCTGGCACCTGGTACTCAGGCACACAGCCAGTAAAGTATGGAGTTATGTTGATCCCAGTCCACCAATGGTAAGCATATGTGACGTTTCACTGGAAAGGATAATCGAAAGAGGGAACTGATTTAAAAATATAAAAGTACAACAAGGAAGAAAAGTGGCAATGGTGGACATGAACTCCAAATTGAACATAAATGAAGAAATGGCTCACTACAGGACTGCAGAGTGAGGTTGTTCAAAAGATCCTATACAGGTAGGAAGAGGAGCTTCATGAGGCCAACGTTACCATATGTGTTAAACAGACAGAAATACGCCAAGTGGTTATGATGAAAAGGGGAAAAATGTACCAGAGGAAGTGCACCAGCCAAAAAAAAAAAAAAAATCAGTTTTAAAACCTTTATATTTCTCAAAGTTGAAAGCACAAAGAATCAGATGTTGGAAGCAGATCCAAACGTAACAGGAGCATGGCAACAGGACGGTGAGGCAAGGCAAAGGGAAGATGCTCTGCCTGTGTCATACCTGTAGGATGAGAACAAGAAGCTAAACGCTGTTCAAACCACTCTTGGCAAGTGTTTGCAAGAGAAAACACTTCAACTCTCAATGTTCCTGATGTTTTATATCGTGAAGTACTGTATAAGTATTAGTTTTACTAACTTTCCATGCTCCTATACTCTTATAAGTGGTAGTAAGAGCTTTTTTTCTTCTTTAAAAAAAAAACACCTTACCCCAGTAGGAATGGCTAGCGTTAAGAAATCAACCAATAACAAATGCTGGTGAGGCTGTGGAGAAATAGGAACCCTTCTCCACTGCTGGTGGGAATGCAGACTGGTGAAACCATTATGGAAATCAGTCTGGAGATTCCTCAGAAAACTAGGTCTAGATGTCCCATTCAACTCAGCTATTCCCCTTCTGGGTATTTTCCCAGAAGATCTGAAAACATCATATCACAGCGTTATATGTGTACCTATGTTCATAGCAGCACAATTTTTAATTGCTAAATTGTGGAAGCAACCCAAATGTCCATCCACTGAGGATTGGATAAGAAAATTGTGGTACTTTAATATAATGGAATATTACTGAGCTACAAAGAAAGATAAACTCGAGGCTTTTATAGGTAAATGGTCACAACTAGAGACCATACTCATAAGTGAAATAAATCAGACCTGCATGTGTAAGCATCGCATTGTCTCACTAGTGTAAGACCTGAAAGAGTTAATTTAAACTCAGAGGTATGATAGATATTGTGAAATGATAGGAAAACACTCAAGGGTAAAGGGCAACTGGGATGTGGGAAAAGAGAAGGGAAAGAAGGAGAAATTTTGTATGTATGTATATATAGGATAGTTATCATAGTTGTTCTACTGTCTTCTATTTCTTTGCTGAAAGAAACTGTTAATGAGTCCTTGATTGATCAATATTGCATATCTCTATCTGTTTTCATGAGAAAGTACTTTGAAGATGTCAATATGTAATACAACAAGCATTGTTAATTTCCTACCATTTTTTTTGTAACTCTGTATTGCCTGTACTCTTCTTTTGCTATTTTGTAAAAGGTTATCTCTCTGTTAATGTTTTCCACCTTTTATTTTTAAAATTAAATAAATAAATAAATAAGACACACATGTAATGTTGGTCTGTTTTAATTCTAAGTAAAGCAATTCCAAAAATACAAACTGGACATCAGAGCCATGTGAACCACCATGATACAATAAAACAGACATTCACAATAATTATGTCCAAAGACAGTTCAGCTTGATAAATCATATTCCAACTATGATAAAGAAAGAGATTACTTTCAAATACTCTTGGTTTTCACTTGGAATTAAAGGACTTTAGGGAAAATGAAATAGTATGATACAGGTGGAGTGTAAAAGGTCACACAAGATTTGCATTTTCCATTGCCCCTAGATATAAACAAGCGTTCAAAAATTAACACAAACTCTGTGTGCTCTTCCTAATATTGCAGCTGCAAGAAAGGCAGCGTTACATTAATAGCTAGGGGAAAGTCAAGTTTTGCTGGAGGTAAACAGAAGTGACAGCTTTCAATTTGCACTTTTGTAAAGCTCATTTACACCTGGTGAACCAGGAACCAAATGCAGGACAACGAAGTTCTCTGTTTCATTTGGCTACAATGTGAAAAAAGAAAGTCATCTTTTGAAGACATTTAAAGAAATAAGCAACTTTCTTTATAAACTGTCAAATACTCAATTAATAGAATAAGTAAGCACTAACCCATGTTTTGACCACTTTGTCATCACTGTACTTTACATATTATTCATCTTGGTGGCAAACTCCCCAATTTTCTGTCTAAAATCCACCAATCACTTTCAAAAGTAAAATGTATAGCCACCAAATTAAGAATATTCTTCTGTTTACTCTTTGGCTAAGAAACAGAACAGAACAAAACAAAAAAAGAAACAGCTTTTCAATATTTTCACAAAACTTCTAAACGTCATTAAACAGTCATGTTTCCCCTCATTGACTGTTACATTCACATTGCATTATTTCAGCTCCTGTGGTCATTTTTATTCAAGGGTGATTGAAGAGTACAGAGGACGCTTACATTTTAAAAGATAGAGTAAAATATACAATGCTAAGGATAGTGGAACAAGTGTTTTTTAAAGTGAGGGGAAGTGTTTTGAGTATTTCAAGGGAGATTAACAACAGTGTGTCTATTATTGTAATATGTATTTTTTAAAATTTACACATCCACTGTATCTTTTGACCATTCTCATTGGTCACATGTTTCTGGAAATTTCTGTCAAACAAAAACATTACACGCACCCTCGTTCACCTTGTTCACCGGATCTGCCATCATGCAACTACTGGCTGTTCCCCAGAGTCAAAATGACAGTGAAAGATAAACACCGAATCAATTCAGGACACTAAGGCCTATGACAGTGTAACTGAGACATTCATGAAAGATGGATTCCAAAAGTGGCATGTGTGAAGGAATAAGTGCCTTCAAATTGGGGGGGTGTTCGTGGGGGGTTAATGGCAATATGTCTTTAACTGTAATGAATTTTTTAAAAAATTAAATGTTCACTGTAGTTTTTGATTGTGTCTTTTAGTCCGCCCCGGCTCCTCTCCCACCCAGATGCACAGGGAAAAGGGCTGCCTCTACTTAACATTCTGTTTAAAATATTGGGTAGAAAAATGAAAATATGCTTAAGGTACCAGAAGTTAAAAATTTGTACCACAGGGCTGGGGATTTAGATCAGCGGCACAGTGCCTGCCTGGCAAGCGCAAGGTCATGAGTTCGATTTGCGGTACTAGAAAAAAACCAAAACCAAAAAAAAAAAAAAAAATTGTGCCACAAACTAGCGTCAAGTTTGAAGTGCATGTCAGTACCAACAGGAGAGCAGGCTGAAGAAAACCAAGGACTACAAGTGACTCAAGCAGACATAGTTACACAGCACTCCCCTTGGGAAGGGTACACCTATTGTCACATCTGCCCAAATTCTCCTATACACTACCTGAAAAATAAAAAGTCAACGTTCTACTTCTTTTTTTTTTTTACCCTACATGGTTTATTTGAGGATTGAATATTACCAGACTTCCTGACCTCTGAATGCGTTGTCAAATCTGGCTATTAAGCACTAACTTTCCTCATCAAATATTCTCTTGTACATTGTATAACTGGAGGGAATTATGTAATGCATAAAATCAGTATCATCCGTGCCCCATAGTCCAAATGGATGATAAATAACAAGCAAAAGTCTTGCCCAGATTGCTTTTCCTGGGACAGTGTGGGGATGCAGATATAACTGTATCTTTCCCCCCACAATGTTCTCTTTAGGCTCTTTCTATGGTATATCACCTGGCCCTAGTCCAAAAGCTCTTTAAAAACAGAGGCTACCTTTTATTCATGCCTGAATCCAAAGACCTGCACACGCAGCCCAGGTGAGGGCTCACTTCAGATGAGACTTGCTTACTTAGCAGACTTGTCCGTGAAATCTGAACTAACCCCTTTCCACTATTCCCCCTATGTTCTTATACTTCTTTGCCTGCAGCAAATTCTAGAATTGCAGTGTTCACCGATGCTTATCTCTTTCTTATTTAGAACACAAACTGAAATGAGAGCAGCAATCAGGACTCTGATTCTCAACCCTATGCTAGTACCTGGATATGATATCTTGGACACAGAGCACTTGCTGAACACTGAATGGGAGAGTGGATAGGGAGGTAGTTGGATGGTTTGACTCAATGTCTACATACGTGAATTACTGTTTGAATGAATTACTGCTGAAATGAATTGGTTTGCTTAATAAATGAATACTCCCCAGCAGCATGTGTGAAAACAGCTTGGGAGTTTTTGTTGAGAATAAGCTCAAGATGTGTCAACAGGGAAATGTTTCCACAAAACACATTTTACCTCAGACTGTGAATACACACCGGGCATCGAGTTGAGGGGAGGGTTTCTTACTTGGATCTTGCTGGTAGGACCACTCATGGAGTCTTTTCCACTTGAGTAGCCGCCAGGAATAGCATGCAGCACACTCACAAAAGGAATCGATATATCTGAGCACAATCAAACATGGAAATGAGGAAAGAATGACCAACTTCCCCGTGACAGTGCTGGAAATGCTGCCACCCTGGGAAAGTGGGAATGTGCAGGCTAACTGACTAGTAAATTGTAGGAAAGAATTTTAGTCCAGCATGTGGGCTATGGGGTGGCCCAGACCTGGATTCAAATTCTGCTTCTATCATATTTTTAGCTATTTAACTTTGGGCAAATGAGCTCTTTGACTATCAGTTATCTCACCTGAAACATGTGTATTACATATCCTATTTTAACTGTATTTCAGGTAACTAAATAGAACTAGTGATGTAAATTACTGAGAGAGTTCCAGTTCTACAAGACGAGGGATAACAGAGTTACAAGAACAAAAAAAAGCAAGACTACAACAAATCCCCACTATTTTCAGTCCCTAATGAGATAATGGATTCAAGGAAATTTTTAATGAATAACTTCGGGCTTACATCAGGAGTTTTCAACCTAGGGGTCCCACAAACTCTTAGGGGAAAGCGCTGAATAGAATAAAGGAAATAAATTAGCAAGAACAGGAAAAACATGCATTTATTTTTACTGATTCCTAATTGAAATTTTGTATCTTCTTGAATCACAAATGTAGGCCTTAAACCACAGTACTAGAACAGCAGTAACTATGAGTCTCTCAAAATATAAATTATAGGTTTTTAAAAAAAATATATTAAATAACTTCATAGCTGTTGAAATATTTATTCCACATTTACATAGCAAAATTATGGTACCATTCTATCTACTACTAGTTCTTATTTAATGTGTAATAAAGAAATGCACATTTTTCTATATCAAAAATTTGTTCTTTCATACTGGGATAACTGCTATTCAATATCTGGTTAATTTCCTTTGTGCTTCCATATACTTAATTTTCCTTATTTAAAAACATCAGTGAGAGACAAGGTATACATATTTCTGTAACTGCTGAAAAGGGCCCACCTGACAAACAAACTTAAAAACTCCTGCTGTAGGTAAAGTTTGATGGAGAATTTTGCAATGGAGGACCAGGCTGTTACTCTGTAAAGTTATTGATCAATTTCAGGGCCAGAGTGGGACACCCATACACTGTGCGCCCTTCCACAGTGTAATGTGAAGTACGCAGCTCTGCCCTACATGTTGCTGTGTGAAAACAGTCAGTCTTCAGGCCACAGCTGTCTGATAGAACTTTCTGCCATGATGGAGATGTTATTTGTGCTCCCCAGCACTTAGCTGCTAGCTGCATTTGACACATAGATAAAACAAACTCAATTGAATTTTAGATTTCATTTCAGTTTAAATTATACAGCCAGATACAGTTGAATTCTGTCCTCTCAGGCAGCCCACTTCAAAGCTCACTTATTTTCACCAAACACAGAAGCTAGAGAAACAAGTGAAATAATGCCAAGGGAAAGCAAACAGATCCACACTATACAAATCTGTCTACAGGCCAAGTAAATAATTTAAATAAATCTAGGGCATAAACGTATCAGATTATAAAGTACCAAAATAATAGTCAAATGTGATCTTTCTTGGATACTTGATATTGAGAAATTAGCAATAATGAATGTAATATCAAGGAATTGTTATTTTATTTGATACAAGCATGGCATTGTAGTAACACTAAAAAATTCCATTGTTTTGAAGGACATAATTTCATGGGTGCTGAGCTGAGATAAAACTATTTTTAAGAATTGTATTAAAATACTTCAGTAAAAAGAGAAGTGGGTAGATAAATATAAAATCTAGGTAAAAAATGAGTTGGTTGAAGATAAACATATATAGTTTGTATTATTTTTGCAAACTTTGAGCATGCTTGAAACATTTCAAAGCATATTTTAAATGTGATTAGTGACTGGTGCACAGTAAACACTCAATAAACATTAATTAGCAACTACTGACGTCATTGTTATCACTTATGATCCCTAAAGTCAAAACTAGTCAATTAGTAAAAAATACATAGATAAGTTTGGATTCAATGTAAAAGGAAGACTTAAAAGAGAGGGTTCTGGGAGGATGAGATTACCCTCTTTCGTGAGGCGGTTGCCTATGGGGTATTTATAATAGCAATACCAGCAGCAGTTTATGTTCTTATGAGCCAAACCTGGTCCCAAGCCTGTTTCTGACCTCCCTCCTCTAACCTTCCCACCGCGGTCATGAGGTCGGTACTGTTACTGTCCCTGTTGGAAATGTGCCAGCAGAAACTGATCACTGGGTGCAGCTGTTGCAGAAGAGGATCAGGGTAGAAAGGTTTTGCTATTCCGTTTATCACTTCCAACCCTGAACTCTTCCATTCAATGAATATGTCACTTGAATTGTGCAGCTGATCACCCAGCTACCTCACACTCAGCCAGGGAGTAAAGAGCAATTCGTGCTTTTACTTATTGAAGTCTTTAAACATCACCTTTTCCTTTCAAGTATGAGACTAAAACCTCACAAGAATTAAATTATCTGTCCATAAGGGGATGATATGATCAAGAAAATGCTACATTTCTATGGCTCCATTTATCCATTTTCAAATTTCTCATAAATCAGAGGGAAACATCTTCCCCAGGCTGCCATTTGACCAAGAAATGTCCATGGTATATCTTTGTCAACATGTTTCGAGATATAAATCTGAATTATAAAAACTAAAGTTGGTGTAAAGACTGTCATCATATATTATATCATTTGGAAAGAAATATTGGTGACCTTATCCAGTCTGACTGTTATAATAGTAATAAAATTGAATCTTGGAAGATTACACTTCTGGTCAAAGTAGTAAAATGTGACCTTATTCTATTCAACATTGACATTTATTATATTAATTCATATGTAAAAAACTGCATTAAAATGATATTAAAGCCCTGGTTAGAAATGAGAATGTTCAAGAACTTCAGAAATTAGATTTAACTTTACCAGCCACTCACAGAATTGAACCTATCTGATGCAAATCAAACTAAATTTCTTCCACCAATCTCTGATTCAATTCTAATTTTCTTGTTATTGCCATCTCATTCATACAGGGTGTTTTTTACTTTTTTTCCCAATGCCTCTTCAAATATTTTCTAAAGCTTAACACATTTTTATCACGCTCTGGAGAAAAAGATAACACTGATCAGTAAACATGGAAACCTGACTCAGAAGATCAAGCTAGCTGCTCAAGGCAGGGAGTTCTCAGGGGAATACGTGCGAGCTTAGTACCGAGATCTCCTCAGGTATTGCACTAGGCCCAAAAGGACACCTACCTAGCCCCAGGGGAGAAGAAGTAGAGTTGAAAGGGAAAAATTGTACAGGAGAAATTGTTCTTTTTAAAA